ACGAGAGCGTACCCTTGCGCGAGAAAGAAGTGCAGCTAGAAGAGCTGCTTTAACATCAGAACAAGTTGAACATGAACGTACTGTGGCTCGAGACAGAAGTGCAGCTAGAAGAGCTGTTTTAACATTGGAAGAAATCGAAGAACAACGAGAGCAAAATCGTGAGAAAGTTGCAGCATGGAGAGCTTCTCTTACGCCGAAAGAAGTCTAGCTACAACGAACACTTGCTACTGAACGAACTATGAGTAAACGAGCTACAGCGCCACCAAAAACAGCAGAAGAATACCGCGTAGTAGCTCGCAAAAGAAGCGCCGCAAGACGAGCTGCTTACACCCCTGATGAACTCGAGCGTCAGCACGCATCTGCTCGTTAGAGAAAGCGACTTCAAAAAAGTGGTAAGCACCAACAAGAAAGGATGAAAAACAAAACTACATGAAAGTAACGCAAGGGGGAAACACCGTACTTTTGTACTTTAAAGTAGTTTAAAGTACTTTAAAGTACATAAAAGTTCACAAAGTACATCAAAGTACCTTAAAGTACCTTAAAGTACCTTAAAGTACTTTAAAGTACTTCTAAAGTACATTAAAGTACTTCAAAGTACATTAAAGTACTCCGAAGTACTTCAAAGTACATTAAAGTACTTCAAAGTAGTTTAAAGTACTTTTAAAGTACTTTTAAAGTACATTAAAGTATATTAAAGTACCTTAAAGTGGCTTTGGATACTTAGTATCAGGTAAAATTGTGTTCAAATTTAACGGGAACATTAAAAGTGAAAAATTAGTTATAGCCAATGTCTTTATTTATATAATGTTAGAATAAACAAAACTAACAACAGAAATTATACAAGATAGATCATCATTTTTACTTTTTGTTCATCTGCATTACACGAGATAAACGATCTGTTGAAACTTTTCCATTTTCTTCCGTCAAAATCCAGCAAGCAGTTTGCTTATGCATATACTTCACTACTCCATTAATTTTTATTTTGAAATAACAATTTTCCTGCTCCATATTTATTTTATCTCGAATGTTTATACCATTAAAATCATTTTTCATTATTTCCAAATTTTCTTCATCATCATCGAATGATTCATTAAGACTTTCACTGTCCTCGTCACTGTTACTAATGATTTCATTATTATCTAAATAATCATCATCATCTTCCTCATCTTCATCGTCCTCGTAGTAATCAATTGCTAATTCTGAATTTGAACTAGTTTTAGCTTTTATTGTTGATCTTGTATTTAAATAATTAAAAGTATATTTACTTAAAGAGTTCAAATTGAGAAGATGATATTCTTTTAACACTGATATTATATTTAACGGTTCGATAAGATTGAGCGCCATTTTATAAGAATTAAAAACAATTTGTTCTACATCTAAACTATAAACATCATCTAATTTTTCTTGTGCTACTAAACTGTTATCATTTTTATGTTTATGGTGTGTAGGAAAAAACAAACGTTTGTCATATTCATTATCTTGCTGTTGACATTTGATTTTATTTAAAATTGATAATTTTTTAGATCGGCCAAGAAAATCAGCAACCGTGAAATTAACAATTGTGGAAAATGCCCCACTTAAAGATCTTGTATTTCGAAACATTGATTCGCAAGATTGCGAATTAAACAAGTAAATATGCAATGCTTCTTTTGGTAGCTGATTCTCTTTTACAAGTAATATTAAATAAAGCAACATATGTGCATTAATTTCTACTGACCAATAAGCTGTTCTAGTTATGAAATTTTTATTTTTATTTTCTGTTGATATATTTACATTATTTGTATTTTGTAACCAAGCCCACCAAAGGCGACAAACGAACACAACACACCACGCCAATTCTAATCCTAAATTAAAATTAATTAACTACATCTGTATATAATTTTTAAAATCTGACAAGCTCAAAGTTAACAACTTCTTATAACGCATATTCCAGTTTTATATCGAGTATTTTGTCGGATTGGAATAGATAATAAATAAAATGTTTATATCAAGATGAAAACCTTCTTAAAATGTTAGTTCTATGGAGAAGTTTTTCAACTTCCAAATGCTACATTTTACTGACAGGAATATATTACTGTTAGGACTCTATTATTTGAGATCTTTTCTTCTCCTATTCTATACAACAATTACTTTTCCAAAACAAGCACTTCATTGATTTTTTGGAAAGGCTTATCTATCGAACACGCGTTACAAAAAAAGATTTTGAAATTCACATAAGACCATGATTTATAATTTATTTCAATCTGACCAAAAATCCGATTCAAGGCTCTAGTCTATACACAAAATGACTTCAGAATATATCAAAAGGATTAAAACAATCCCTATTTTTCATTCAAATGCAGAGAAAAGATTTCTTCGCTTTATTAAAGCATTTGTTTCATCGGACGACATTTTGATCAACTCTGTATCAGTTTTCCGAACGTAGATTAAGCAAAATATTTATTCTCAATTTCATGAACTCTCTCTCTATATAGTATACACTTACGTTTTATTATTGTTGTGGACTTTTCCATATATGCTATTATTATCATTTTCAATAACGTAAGATATAAATGAGTACCTTGTGTATCAATGTTTTCATTAAGAATATTTAAAACATCTTCTGAAACTATTTTAACACAAGATCGATAATTCTGTCTGTCTTTTGGATTTATATCAGATTTGATTAAACCATGATCTAGTTTCGTATATTTATCATTTTCAATTATATTTTGTAGATACTTCATACTAATTAACTGACTTCCGATACGCAATTCAGCTTTAACAGACAGCAACCGGTTTCTCCACTTTGTCACTAAATGTGTTGGATCTTGTAAAAAAAGACATAGTTGTTTTTTTCGAAGAAAAAACCATGGCCATTGCCCCTCAAATTTGATTTGAAATGCATCTGGATGTTCGTACGGTTGAAGATTCAACAAATGTCCGAAGAAGCCGCACATTAATCGCATTGCTCGCATATATTTATTATCACCATCTAATTGATAGTAATAAAAAAAAAGATACATTGAAGGAATAAAATCTTTGAAGATCTTCTGTGAATAAAAATTTTTAAATCAGCTTTTGCTGGTTGCTATAGTGACCGAAAGTCATACAAAAGAAAATTCTTATTTACAGCACGACTTTATGCAATACAAGTCTGACAACATGAAAGTAAAATTCAAGTTTTATTTTGAGTTATTATAAGCCTGAAAATATCAAACTCGCTCATCATCAATTATTTTTATTTGATGTCTGAAAAAACGAAACTCAAGTTACCCAAAATTATTATAAACTTTAAAACTACAAATTTTAACGTTTAATTTTTTTTATTCATATAAACAATTGATAAAGAATGTCCTTGAGACGGACATGATCATTAAAGGCATCATTGTTTTGAAATATCATCTAAAATTGAAGTTCCTTAGACTTTTCTAGTTAAATAAATAATGAAGCCTGTAATTTATCAACTTCTCTCGGTTCAGTTTATTCGGGTTTTTTAATCGAATTCAAATGTGTTAAAGTTTTGTTTTATCTATTTTGTTAATGATCCATAGCAAATGTTTTCTCAAAAATTATAAGAAACATGCCATAAATTTACTCATGTTACAGTTCATTTAAACTTAAATTCTACTTCGTTGTTTGATTTAACTCAAGTCTTTATTATAATTAATTGCTGAATGAGTCTAACATAAGATGAAGTTTCTCAAAGCTTTTTATACAAAGTGAGCTAATGCTCTTGTCCGTATAACATGCTCTTAAGATTTTTCACTTTTGTTCAGTATATAGTTTTAAATTTATCTGTCTTCTATAAATTCTAATAACTGAAAGACAAAAGATTATCGTTTGGTTCTCCGTCGAATACTTGTAGTATAAACCGTACTATTATTCTTTGGTTTGGTTCAAAAAACTGATACCTTTTTATTTCGTTTTGATAATCTATTCTTATAATTAGATATTTTGCTGTCTCACATCAAGTAACCGATTTGGTATCGAGTGTCCATCTCCCGTTGGTTCAGACTGATGCTATACATTAGGTATCATCATACAAGCTAAAGTCTATTATCAGCATCTTGCATGTGAGCTGAAGCCGATGATCACTTCTTTTCATTCGAGCTGAAGTTATTAAAAATCTCATTTTAGGTAATTCAGCGAAAATGAATAATTTAGTAAAGCCAGCTCATATAAAATGGGCTGGCAGCTAGTATTTCCGTTCGATTCTTCAAATTATTCAATTGTAAACTATCATATCCCACTTATAACAGCTTGATTCAATTTCTGATTTCATACATGTATTAAACATTTTCAATTCCCCTAACAAGAAAGATCCAACGCAAAGATTTTACCTGTAGAAAAACCAATAATTCTAATTTGACTTTTACTACAATTATTAAAAATATATATCCATCGATGTAGTATCTCGATGGCTGTTGATGTACTATCAACACCATAAGCACTCATCAAAAATGAGGCTGGTGCATTTGCACGATTCAGTTGTGGTATAGGCTGAAACATATGAATATTCAATAAATTAGATTTTTCAATATTATTAAACCAAAATTGCAGTTCTTCAAATGAATCAGTCTGATAATAGTCAGGAATCGGTACTCCATTTGAAAGTTTTGTAACAAATCCAACAAATGAATTAGTCTTAACATCATATTTAATTTTTTTTATTATAGAGGTACAGTCCTCTGAACAAAAACCAAATTTTACTTTTACTGAATTAAGATATTGTTGTAGTGCATCAAAACAAAATCGACCTTCTGTTAAAATAGCATTAGTACTCGATATTAATTTCTTTAATGTTGTTAAATTAGGTAATGCACCAATAATATTAATTCGAACGAACTCATATACCTGTTTGCCACCTAGAGTATAAAGTACTACAGCAAAATCTTTCATAGAATCATCATATCGATAATTTTGTTTTTGTTTAACTATATTTTTTGTTATAGTGTCGATAAAAGATGACATGAACGAATGATTTTTATTAATATCATTATTTGCAAATTCATTCCGTGAGTACCATGCTATAAGTGATTGCAATATCGGATTTCGATTGATTAGTTCATAAATTTTTTCTTTTTGTAAATTATTTAAAAAAATATGCTGCTCTTCAAATTTCTTTTTTAATACTGTTTTCAAATACGTCATATTATTTAATACTCCAGTACGAACAATATATTGTCCATCTTTCATTTTAAAACATGACTTAGATTTTATTGCATCGATATCATCAGAATCGTAGTTAAATATATCAAAAATATCATTTGTATTCAAGAAGTTTTCGGCAGAATCAATCATTTGAATTTCAAGAATGTTGCAAGCAACTTCACCTATTAATGGTCGAATAACACGAAAAAATTCTTCACCTTTCAATGTAAATATAGCATCTGACAGAACCGATGTATCACAATTATCATCTTTATTGTTCATTTTAAAAATCTTAAATACACAAATATTAGAAATTTTCCAAATAATTTATTGTACGTAAAAGTATGAAATTATTAAAAGCCCTTTATATGATTCAAAAACTTTTGCACAACTTTTTTCATTTAAATCTTTTACATGGAGCAACACTTACAAACAATTCGTATAAGAAACATCTCAAATTGGAAGTTCGAAATCATCTGTCAACAACATAAAATTCAAACATAAGACATACTCAAATCTCGTATGAGATCTGAATGAGAATTAACTGATTAGAAGTGATTTTAGTTTCCATTCAAACAAATATAGAGCCCGATGAGTCAAGCTTTTTTTAATCCAAGCTGACAAAACGTGTTTTCTCACATTTTTGGTGCCAATTTTGCGGAAATTACTTCACAATATATTTATGAATATTAAGTAAATTCATAAGTTTTCTTTATTGGCAATATTTTAGCCAACAAATCTCCTTATTTTGTTGTCTTCTTGCTTAAGTTTGACTAGAACTATTATAATATAAGAAAAAAATTCGTTCGAAAACAATGAAATATCTAACTATATCTCTTAATTCAGGGCAAAATAAGCTTCCATCTTTTGATCATTATTTAGGTTTCAATTTACAAGATCAGGACCGAAACTGATCCTGTATATCTTCAATATAATAATGATCAAATACCGATAGCCGAATCTTTCGCTGAAAAGTTGGAAAAAAATTATTCTTCTGTACTCTTTTTCATGGACACATATTATTTACAGATAAGATATAAAATGCGATTCATTTCAAAAGTTCCATAACATTGAGTTTTTATTTCCTACTTTGCGCGAAAATATCGTATATGATGATGTAGAATAAAGAATAGGGATAAAAAGTGAGGTAATTGTATTTTTTTAAACATGTGCTATTGATATTATCACTCACTTTTATTCCTTAAATGATGTACCTTGCAATCCACTTCTCTGACTTTTTGAAATATTTTCACACTCATCTCGTGTTTCGTCTTACATTTTCTAAGGAAATAATTTAATAGAAGCTAAATTTTTGAGACACATATCTAAATTCCACAGATCTTCAAATAAGAAGAGCGAGATGATTTTGACGTATTGTGAACTTTCATATCACTTACATACACCTAATTTCACAGCAGATTATAGCTAGCATGTAATAAAATTGCGTTAATAGCATAACATCATTAATAAATATCACATTTAAGCTTTTTTCGAAACTATAGGGTGGTTAAAACTACAAGTAATAATAAATATCAGTATAAAAATCTGTTTTTTATTCTATTAGAGAATAAGAACAATTACAAATCAACTTTTTTGAAAGAATGTACGAACGTTATATTGCTGGCTGTTCGTGCACAATGTCCAGTTTTGTCATAGAGGTGTTTGATTATTTAGATGTCGCGCTTTTTCGGGAAGTAGAAACCAATAATTGTTCGCTTATTGGATAAGCTAATAAACAAATTATTTTTCCTTATTGCTCAAGAAGTACTCGTACAATTCTAACATTTCTTTTGTTTGGGTCTCATCGTTTTCTCAAATTTACTATTAGTATATTGAATTTTTTCTGTTATGTCTCTTACAAATATTTATCTTGATACAAGTCGTTTACCAGATGACATATTATCGTATACGGATCAACGTTTTTATGATTTTGTTGAATCTTTTCTTGGTAAATTACATTCTCGTTTACTTGCACAACTGCATATTAGTAGCGTGCCGTGCTTTTTGTTAACAGAAAATCCATGTGCTATTTTCAATATGGATATTGACGATGAAATTTTAGAAAAATTAAGTAAAGAAATATGTGTAAAATTGAAAAATAATCAATTTATAGTGAAACCTGGTATCGAAAATAGCTTTAAATGTTTGAAACAATTATTATCAAAAAAAACTGAAGAAAAATTGAAAAAAAAGCGTAAAGGACAACAACGATCGACAAATCTTGGCAACACCATTTCTACACAATCATCTTCATTCTCATCTGCATCAATATCTTTGTCACAACCATTATCAGCAACAAATTCACTTTCATTATTAACATTAGATGAACATCGACAATATTTGTTAAACTTGATTCAACAATGGTGTATTGATAATAAATCAAGTCTTCAACTTAACCAACTCGAATTAAAAGAAGGTGTTGATTTTACTTTTTTTTTTTTAACTGTAAATGATGGTTTAGAAGCTACTGTTGAATGTAAATGTGGATCTAAAATAAGTTTAGGAAAAAATCTTGATAAAATTCAACTATCAAATTTTTACAAACATTTAAAAGATACGAAATGTTCAAATATCATGGCATTAAAAAAGAAAGAGGAAAAACATATCCAACAATCGGTAATGAATCCAACAACAACACCATCTAAAGTAACAGACGATTTAATAACAACAGTTTCTTCACATCGTCTGACTTCATCAACATCATCACCTGGTGATAAAAAACGACGTATATCTCAAGGTTCACAAGAGAAACAAAAAAAGAAGAAAGAATGACATTAGTTTTTTTTAGGTTTTCAGTTGATAGTTTATATATATGTACTTCTGTAAAAAGTTTTATGTATTAATTAAATGAACTGTTTGTTGTAATAATGATACTCTTACTAATCAGTTTTTTTCATTTTTATATGTAATTGATTATGATGAAAATATAATGTATGAAAGCTAGAAATGAAACATTTGTTCGGATATAAATCAAGGTGTACAGTTCATAGGTTCACATAAAAAACCGATTCCTAAATAATCATAAAATTTCAATATGATTACTATCGCTTCAGCATCGTCAAAATTCATTGTAGGAAAAAACCAAAAGAACATATAACAACAAGCAAAACTATGTATAAGTACGAAGTACACTTAAGTAGTTTAAAGTAGTTTAAAGTACATCAAAGTACTTCGAAGTACTTTAAAGTACCTTAAAGTACTTTAAAGTACATCAAAGTACTTTAAAGTACATCAAAGTAC